ATTCTAGAATCACCTGGATATTTCTCAAGAAAGAAAAATCTGAGGCAGGACCAATTTTTAAAAAATTTCACTCAATGATCCAAACACAATTCCAAGCCAAAGTTCAGATTTTCAGAACTAACACTGCCAAGAAATACTTTAATTCTATTCTTGGGAATTACCTTCTTCATCACGGGATAGTTCATCAAAGTTCTTACATAGGCACCCCCACAGCAAAATGGGATAGTCGAAAGGAAAAACTGATACATTTTAGAAGTTGCTCATTCTATTATGTTCACAAGTCATGTCCCTAAACACTTCTGGGGGGAAGCTGTCCTTACCGCTACCTATCTCATTAATCAGATGTCTTCAAGAGTCTTGAAATTCCAAACTCCATGCCAAGTACTCACACAAGTCTACCCACAATCCAGACTCATCTCATCCTTGCCACTAAAAGTCTTCGGTTGCTCAGCATTTGTCCACATACCACCTCATCAGAGGAGTAAACTAGATCCCAAAGCCATAAAATGTCTATTCCTCGGATACTCCTCTCACCAAAAAGGTTACAAATGCTACTCTCCCACTACTCGGAAGTTCTATAACACCATGGATGTAACTTTCTTTGAGAATAAGCCTTTCTACTCCAAAACTCATATTCAGGGGGAGAATTCTATCGTACTATAAGAATATCAGTTTTGGCAAGATGTGGATATCTCCGTGCCTTCCATCACCTCAAGTTCACCTAATCCGAGTAACACCACCACACCTCCAATTGCGCCTATCCTACTTGAGTCAACATCCAAACCTATTCATTCCGAACCCACTCCAAACAGTCCTCAGATTCTGACTCAACAAGAAAAATCAAAAATATTTGAAGGGATTGTTTACTCAAGAAAGCAGACAGCTCCAAAGGAGGTGGATCAACTCACTTTTCCTGAACAAAACCAAGCGTCCGCTTTAAATCCAGTCACTTCTACTCTAGGAAGCACGGACACTCCAAAATAGGCAAAGAATCCGTGTCCGACACGTGTCGGACACGGACACGCGTCGGACACGCCCCGACACGTGTCGGACACGCCAAAAAATGTGTCTGGAATTTTTTATTTTTTTTTAATTTTCGGACACGGCTTGGACATGGCACGGACACTCCGCGGACACGCGTCCGACACGCCAGGGGTGTGTGTCCGACACGCGTGTCTTATTTTTGGGGGTTTAAAAGATAATTTTTGAAAGAAAGTTGGGTTAAAGTATAAATATATAAAGTTATTTAATAAGTTTTACTTATGTGGTCAAAACATAATAATTTTAAACTTTTAAGGTTACTATGCAATTTTAAACAAAAGAAATAGATATTTAAGGCTACTCATTACACTATTACAAGATGAGATTCAAAGGACGGGTTGCTCTCTCAAAGTGACGAAGCTCTGCAACTTCCTGCTGCCGATCAAAGCGACTCCCTCCAGACTCCAGGTCAGTCTCTCTCTCTCTCTCTCCTCTTCCTCCTCTTTTCTTCCTCCTCCTTCCTCTTTTCTTTCTTTTTCTTCACAAACCCTAGTTTCTTTCTTTCTTCTTCATCTTTTTTTTTTTTCGTTTTCCTTTTTCACAAACCCAGATTCTTTCTTTCTTCTTCATCTTGTTTTTTTTCGTTTTCCTTTTTTAAAACCCCAGATTCTTTCTTTTTCTTCTCTCTCTCCCTTCCCCCCACCCCCACCCTTTTTCACTAACCCCAGTTTCTTTCTTCTTCTTTATTTTATTTTTTTTTCATTTTTCACAGACCCCAAATTTTTTCTTCTTCTTTCTTTCCTTTTTTTTTTTTTTTTTTTACAAACCCGTCTTTATTTCTTTCTTCTTCTCTAGTGTTTTTCCTTCTAAATTCTTTCTTCTTCTTCTTCTCTGTTGTCTTTATTCTTGCTTTAATTTCAGCCGGTGTGAATCTGTGATTTATTGACCTGTAAATGAATAGGATTTCATCTTTGATTTAATTTCAGCTGTTGCATATGAATTGTGAATCTGTGATCAAATAGGAATTTATTCAGTCTTTGCTGACTGTTCTTTCTTTGCTGACTGTTGTAAGTATGGATTTTTTTTCTTTTCTTTTTATGTCTAGGGAATTAGACATGTCGATGTCATTGTCTACATCAGTTGCTAGTAGTACTCCTCAATTCGAACAAGATGAGAACAAACCACTTTGGAACTATGTCATAATTAGAAAAAATTGGTGGTGGAGGAGGAAATTTTTTATTCAAATGCCACTTTTGTAATAACGAATTCAGGGGGTCTTATACAAGAGTTAAAGCCCACTTGTTGCAGAACACTGGTATGGGTATTTGTATATGCCCAAAAGTCACATCTTAGAATATTGCAGAAATGCAAAAAGCAATTGAAGAAGCCGAATTGAGAATTAAAAATTCTATTCCAAAAAAAGTACTACATCATATATATATACACTATTCGCCGTGTCCGTGTCCTAATTTTTTTGGATTTGCCGTGTCGCCATGTCCGTGTCGTGTCGTATCCGTGTCCCGTATCCGTGTCCGTGCTTCTTAGCTTCTACTCAAGGTAACACAGATTCTTATTCTAGCAATGATCTGGATATTCCTATTGCTCAAAAGAAAGGTGTTAGGTCATGCACTCGGCACCCGATCGCAAAATTTGTGACATATGAGAGATTGTCCCCCTGCTACCGCGCTTTTACCTTGAATCTGTCCAGCACAGACATTCCAAGTTGTATACAAGAGGCTCTAAAGCACCCTAAATGGAAGGAAGCAGTTAGTGAAGAAATTTTGGCTCTTATGAAGAATGGTACTTGGGAACTCACAGAACTTCCCAAAGACAAACAACCTGTGGGATGCAAGTGGATATTCAATGTTAAGTACGAGGTAGATGGAAGTGTTGACCGATATAAGGCGAGACTTGTAGCTAACGGATTCACTTAAATCTACGGGATTGATTATCAAGAAACATTCGCTCCGGTTGCTAAGTTAAACACAGTTCGGGTTCTTCTATCCTTGGCGGTCAATTTGGATTGGCCTCTTCATCAACTTGACGTCAAGAATGCATTCCTTAATGGAGACTTGGAAGCTAAAGTCTACATGGAGATTCCTCTTGGTTTTGAGAACCCAAGCAATATCAACCGTGTTTGCAAACTTAGGAAATCTCTTTATGGCCTTAAGCAGTCACCAAGGGCCTGGTTTGAGAGATTTACCATAGCGGTCAAGAAGCATGGATACACTCAAGGCCAGTCAGATCACACCTTATTTATCAAGAAGTCTCCTGAAGGGAAAATTACCATCCTTATTGTATATGTGGATGATATTATCTTGACAGGTGATAATGAAGAAGAGATAAGTCGGTTAAAGAGTACTCTTGCCAAAGAGTTTGAAATCAAGGATCTCGGTACATTGAGATATTTTCTTGGCATGGAAGTGGCTCGATCCAGCAAAGGTATTTCTGTCTCTCAACGGAAGTATACGCTTGATTTGCTCAAAGATATAGGTTTACTCAGTTGTAAGCCCTCAGAAACATTCATGGACCCTTCCAACAAACTTGACATAAAGGAGAGTTCTACTTCGGTTGACAAAGGGAGGTACCAAAGATTGGTGGGAAAACTTATTTACCTATCTCACACAAGACCGGATATCAGTTTTCCTATCAGCGTGGTTAGTCAATTTATGAACAATCCAACTAATGAACATCTTGCAGCAGTTTACAGGATTCTCATATATCTCAAAAAGACTAGGGAAAGGGTTGTTCTTCAAAAAGGGGACAGACCGTAGCATGGAAATTTTCTCAGATGCCGACTGGGCAGGATCCCTAACTGACCGAAGATCTACCTCAGGCTATTGTTCCTATGTGTGGGGAAACCTTGTTACATGGAGAAGCAAGAAGCAGTCTGTAATTGCTCGAAGCAGTGCTGAGGCTGAATTCAAGGCTATGGCACATGGAATATGTGAAGGAATGAGGCTCAAAAGACTCCTAAAAGAACTGAAACTCGCTACTAAAAGTCCAATAAAGATACTGTGTGACAACCAAGCTACTATCAGTATTACTAAAAATCTAGTTCACCATGACAGAACTAAACATGTTGAGATTGATCGGCACTTCATCAAAAAAAAGATCGATCAGGGAGTCATCAAGATGATCTATACTCCTTCAAGTCTTCAAACCGCAGACATCCTCACCAAGGCTCTTAACCGAGATCGCTTTGAAATCCTTCTTTTCAAGCTGGGAATGATTGATATATATTGCCCAGCTTAAGGGGGAGTGTGGAAATTCCAAGATAATTAGTTAGCAGCTTTAGTTAGCAAATTTTGTTAGTTTCAAATAAAGAGATGAAGATAATTAGTATCCAAATCTCCAAGATTTCTGTTAGTTAGTTTCCTATTTTACTTCCTAGAATCAGAGTTGGTTAACCTAATTGTGAAGGTTTCCTTTCCTATTTATTCTGGTAATTCACTTATTCCAAAGATAACAATAATAAAAATATCAAAGAAGTTTTTTCTCCCATAAATTTCTTTAAGAATAAAAGAGCAAAAAGGGCAAGAAGGGCAAAGATCCTTCATCTTATCATAATTGCAATTAGGAATGACAATTAGTCAAAAGAAAGAGCTTGCTTCTAGCAAGCAAATGAAGGGGAGTAAGAGAGACAATGGAAGTGCAAAGCCTCCTCAATAAAGACCTCTTCTATTCCATTTCATTTAATCTACCTCTGTTACCTCGGGGAATGTATAGCAAACAAGTTCATCCTTATGGATAAGCAATCTGATGAAGAAGAAAAAAATATCACACTTAGAACATTGGAAGCAACGGAAGCAGCAAGCCTATGGGAGGCAAGCGCAACTATCTATTGAGACTATTGGCAATTCTGTACACTTCAAGCGCATGCACATATCAAATGCAGTAGAAAGATCATTTAGTATAGTTAGAGACCAATAAAGAAATCATTGGTGACTTGCACACCCTAGAAAGCAGTGTCAAGATATTAAAAGGTACAGAAAAAATAAAATGAAATTCTAACCTACCAGCCATCATCCAAATGAAATGCCAATTGGTACGGGCAAGATGGATTGACACTAATTGAGTGTATTTCCTTTGAAACAATATTGGATTGTGCCTGCAGAATAATGAGAACTTATGGTCAAATTTGAACCAACAATGTGCAAAAAGGCATCTTTATGCTGAATGATTAGAAATATAAAGACTTGCCACTTGGGCATGGCCGCATGGGAAGATTCATTTTCAAACAATGTCAATGTGCACATTGGCAGATTTAGTAACCCTTGCATAACTTAAGTCTGAAGAATGATAAATTAACACCCTAACTCTTGCAACTTAATGGCATTTTTTTTTTAAGTGGTATCTTTTATTACCATAAATGAATTAATTAATTAATTTGACACCCTAACAATAACTAGCATTTCTATATTGGCATTCCATTTCGAAATAATATTTCACATGTCACTAGAATTTAGTTTTCAACTAAAGAACTGTGAATATGATGTCTTGCAATTTTAATCGTATATCCTAATCCAAATTAATTTGTTCAATAATGCCAACTAGAACAATACATTAGTTAACAGACACTCATAAAAGAACAGCTGAAAAAATGCCTGACTATTACACACTATTTTCTAAGATCAACATTGACTCCCACTTTCAGTGTAGAATTATACTTTAATTAGATAATTTTACAGGTGGGAATCATATGTCAGTTGTGTTTGAATTAATTAAACAACCTGTGTAGAACCTTTCGTCAAACCTATAGGAACATTCACAATGACCAAGATTTCGTAGATGAATTTCCTAGTGAAGAGATGAAGTCTTTGTATCTCAAACCAAGCCACTAATAAGCATTTCATGCAGGTTTTGCAACAAAATTTGAACTCTTCATTGTGGAAAAAACACATTTGATCATTTATAACGGCACAATCTTGTGACGGCAGGAACTACAGTTCATGTTTCAGGAAAATCATGATATTATGTTTCAAAAGCCCTTCTGGATATGATAACTGATTAGAAGCCAATTCATGTGCCCCAAAAATATTAGTTAAAATAGAGAGGAGAAAGTGATGCTGAGTTGTCAACAACACTGCTATAAATAGTAGACTGCAGATCCAATTGCAAATGAAAGAAAATGGCATGATAAGGACTTCACATACCTTCAGAGACCAAATTTTCTCCAGCATTGACGCTAATTTCACAGATGTTAGAGGATAATTATACACCTGAATTAACAGAAGATTGTATGTTATATTAGTTTACGGAGACTGATAATTTGATATTTCATATTAATGACTTCCACAAATTCTACTTCCGATTTCTTACATAATTATTGAATTATTTGTCAGTCATGTTACAGATCCAATTTTGCATGATTTCACCAGATAAATGATAAATAAGTCATCATAATACTATGTAATAGATTTTTCATATAATGTTCTGCTAAAGACTTTCGAAGGAGTGAATTCATGAAAAGAAAGTATAATTGCCTATGTAGTAGTTATCCAGGAGTTATTGTCCTAAGAGGCCACCTCAAAAAATATAATAAAAAATAATGATTGAAATAGGATTCATTGCATGGTGCATGGTCGAAGCTCAAACTAAGCGTGAGGACATGGATCCAAGTTTGAGAGCAGCCTCTTTGTGCTAACTGCTAAAATAATGTTAAATATTACATCTATCTCCAGTGTTCCCATCCCATGATCACGCATAAGCGGGACCAGCACAGGTTAATGGCCTTTAATGGTTGATAAAAGAAGGGTGTGCAATACACATCAATGTGACCAGAAAAGCAAAAGTGATGCTGATTAAAAAAATAATAATCTTCTTATATAAGGGATTACTGCTCAGTAGTTGCAGCATGTGGTAATTCAGCACACTGCATTCTCAAGTAACCAGAGTCATTGGATACTAAAAATAATAATAATTAAAATTAACCGTCCAGATATATTTACCTCCTTGTGACTTTGAAAAGCAGCAGATGATCTTCCACCACGAAGATCCCACATATATATTATCCCATTCTTGCTAGCTCCAGCAATTATCTACAATAATTAAATTAATAAGTATATATAGTAAGTCTCCAATAATCACATTTGTGTCATAATAATAAAAAATCTGAGATCTAACAAAAAAATTTATGCAAAAACAATCTGATTAATTTGTAGACACGCTAACAATAAAGTTCTAGTTCATCCTTTCCAAAATGATGCAAAAGAAATTCATGTTTCTGTTGTCAGGGACTTATTTGTTATTACTTATATAATGTTGGGGCTTATGTGTAATTTCTGAAACTTGTTACTATAAATAGAATGTGGTGGAAGGATGAAAGTATTCTTTCATTCTTTCTCTCTTTCCCCTTCTCTCTCTCTTTTTCTCTCATGCGCTTTCTTCTCTTTTTCTTCTTCCTCTTTATCACTTATTCTTGATTTGATTATATCTTAAAGTTTACATGGTATTAGAGCATGGTTTGTAAAGCTCTGGGTTTGTAGTTGAAACCTTAGGGCAAGTTTGTGTAAACCTTAGTGGGTGTGAAGGGTTTTGAAGAGATTCTAAGATGGGATTTGTTTGCAAGGAAGTAATGTTAATCACATCCACACGTATCGCGGATCCAACTCTGCGGTGAGTTGGCTGGGGGTTGTAGGGGGCAGCGCGCCCCTACTTGGGGTTCGAGGCGAGGCCCAGAAAAAAAATAAAAATAAAAATTGGACCTGTTTTTTATCTGTTGCAGTCTCGATCGGTGTTTTTTTGTGTTCGCAGGGTTCTACAACAGCGGCTTTTTCTTCGTCATTCGCGATTTTGGTATGGTCTACTTTGTTGCTTTTTAGGATTTGTGTGGTGACTGTGTGGTCGCTTTTTTATGCATCTCAGAAGACGGTAATCTTTTTAGTTGAAGTTTGTGTGTTAGAAAGGTGGTTCTCTACGTATTTTATTGTTGTTTTTGTTTCTAGGTATCCTCAGAAACTGTTTGATAAAATGTTTGGCTCAGAGGTGACTTCAAAAGAAGGTGGGTCTTCTCCGACTACAGTATTGGGAGGTAGTAGTGATCACCATCCAAGCCTTTGTTTTACGACTGTTAAGCTGGATGAGACGAACTATATGGAGTGGCTCAATCTGCTCGTATGCATATCACTAGTCGTAGGATGATCGACCGTATCAAAGGGACTGTTACGTATCCCTCTAAGAGTGATCCTAAATGCACTAGTTATGACGTGGTTGTTGCAGTCAATGCAGCCACATATCAGCAAAGGGCTTCTGTTTATGAAAATAGCTAAAGAGCTATGGACGGCTGTGGAAGAGACGTATTCCTCAGTTGGAAATTTTGCAAAACTATATGAATTCCAACAACAGATTTCAAGATTCAAGCAAGAAAACCAAACTCTTGCTACATATTACCACACTCTACGTGGTAAATGGGAAGAGTTAGATCACTACTGAGACTACATACCTATGTGTGCAACTGATGTTAAAGCATTTTATGCTATAGTAGAAAAGAATAGAATCTATGAGTTCTTGGGTGGTCTGCATCCGAGACACAAACATGCCAGGGTACAATTGTTAGGCAAGTATCCAACGCCTAATTCTGTCAGAGATGTGTTTTCGTATATCCAGGCTGAGGAGAGTAGAATGAAGGTTATGTCTGCACCTGTATGTACTAAGCCTGAGCCAGAAGTACAATTGTCTGAGAGGTCTGCTCTTGCCACACAACAATGGAACAAGCCCAATCCTCTAAAAGAGGGAAACAGGATGACAAAAGCAAGTTAAGGTGTGATCATTGTGGGCATACGCACTACACTAGGGAAACATGCTAGAATCTACATGGTTGCCCTACTCCTCCTGCTAATGCGAATGCTAGGCCAAGGCCTGGTTCATTTAGGGGGTTATCTACGGCACATACTGCAGAGCATGAGACTGCTTCTACTGGTCATGCCTCCTCAGGGCCACCGAGTTCTTTGTCCGGGACTAAACTTGATGCTTTCGGCATCTACTAGCACAACATTCCTCTGTTTCCACCTCTAACTTCGCTCAGACAGGTACCTTTCATTCGGCACATCAAGTTTCCATATTATCTAGTGGGCCACCCTAGATCATTGATTTAGGAGCCACTAATCACATGGCTGGTATGCAAAGAAGCACGGACACGGATACGACACGACACGGACACGGCGACACGGCAAATCCAAAAAAATTAGGACGCGAACACGGCGGGGACACGGCGAATAGTGTGTATACATATATATATATGATGTAGTACTTGAAAAATTACTGTGTTACTAATTTTCATCAATCTCACAATGAAAAAAATACACAAATCATAACTCATAACTAATAAACTATAAAAGAACAATGTTGTAGAGTTATAAAACCAAATAAAAAACAAGACATTAGAATAATAACTAGTATCATTTAATTACAAGTTTAAAATTATTATGTACTGACCACATAAGTGAGTAAAATTTGTCAAATAACTTAACATATTTATACTTTAACCCAATTTTCTTTCAAAAATTATATTTTAGACCCCCAAAAATAAGACACGCATGTCAAACACACACCCCTGGCGTGTCGGACGAGTGTCAGCGGAGTGTCCGTGCTGTGTCCGAAAATTAAAAAATAAAAATAAAAAATTCTAGACACGTTTTTTGGTGTGTCCGACACGTGTCGAGGTGTGTCCGATGAGTGTCGGTGTCCGACACGTATTGGACACGGATTCTTCACCCATTGTGGCATGTTCGTGCTTCCTAGCTGGTATGGCATCTAATTTTTCTTCGTACAATTTATGTTCTGGCTAGGATAAGGTTAAAGTAGTTGATGGCACCTTCACCTCCATTACAGGGAAGGGCACTATTTCTGCCTCTCCTAATCTTACCTTATCCTTTATTCTTCATGTCCCAAAGTTTACCAATTATCTCCTTTCTGTCAATCACATTACAAAAGGCTTGAATTGTAGTGTAACCTTTTTTCCATCTCACTGTGTGTTTCAGGACTTAGACACGGGGAAGACGATTAGAAGTGGACATGAGGACAATGGCTTGTATTTGCTAAACGCGAGGCCAACTTCTTATTATGTTGCAAATCAATATAGTGTTAGGAATAGTAATGTCAATAAAGATCTATTAATGCGATGGCATAATAGACTAGGTCATTTACCTCTTCGTGTTTTGAAGCATGTGCTTCCCCAGTTTGTTTCTGTTGAATCTTTTGAGTTAAATTGTGAAACATACGTTCTTGCCAAACAATGTTGTGTTTCTTATCCTACTAGTATTAATAAAAGTACAGCTTTTTTGCAGCTTGTTCATTCTGATGTGTGGGGTCCTGAACCTACTACTTCGTTACTTGGTTTTCGTTACTTTGTTGTGTTTGTTGATGACTTTAGTCAATATACTTGGCTTTATCTTATGAAAACCAAAGATAAAGTTCATTCCACTTTTAAAACCTTTCATAGGATGGTATATACTTAGTTTGGTTGTCCCCTCAAAATCCTTCGATCTGATAATGGAGGAGAGTTTATGTATGGTGGTCTTGCCTCTTTTTTTACTGGATACGAGATTGTCCACCAAACCTCTTGTGTCAATACACCATAACAGAACGGTGTAGCTGAAAGAAAACACCATCATATTACGGAGGTGACCCATTCTCTTCTAATTACGATGGAAGTGCCTAAAAGTTATTGGGCTGATGCAACCTTAACAGCTACATACCTTATCAATCGCATGCCTTCTAAGGTTCTTGACTATCATTGGTTTGCCTGTTCCCATTCAGGGGGAGCTTCTTACTAAGGTGCTTATGTCTAGCCCTCCTAACACTAATGATTTGCAGCAGGGAAAGCAGCCAATTGTCTACACTAGGAGGGCAAAACAAGTTATTAACTCACCCTAGAACCAAGAAGTCTCCCTCGATCCAGGTAATTCCTTAGTTGACATTAATACTCATGATTCTTTTCCCAATAACATTCCTGTTGATCTTGATGTCCTTATTGCCTATCGTAAGGGTGTTCATAGTTGTACAAAGCATCCCATATCTCAGTTTGTATCCTATGATGCCTTATCTCCAACATATCATGCTTTCACTTCGTGTATCTCCTCTGTATCTGTTCCTTCTAGTGTTTCAAATGCTCTCAATCAAACTCCATGGAAGAAAGCTATGCTTGAAGAAATGAAAGCCCTTGAGAAGAATGGTACTTGGGATATTGTTCCATTACCTAAGGTAAGAAACCAGTAGGCTACAAATGGGTTTACACAATAAAGTATCATACAGATTGAATAATTAAGAGATATAAAGCTCAGTTAGTTGCAAAGGGCTTCACTCAGACTTATGGAATTGATTATCTGGAAACATTTGCTCCAGTTGCCAAGATGAACTCTATACATGTTCTTCTTTCTTTAGCAACTAATTTGTATTGGCCCTTACATCAGCTGGATGTAAAGAATGTTTTCCTTCATGGTGATTTGGAGGAAGAGGTGTATATAACTATGCCACCAGGGTTTAAGCTTGCCAATGGTCAGAATTTAGTGTGCAAGCTAAATAAAGCTTTGTATGGGTTAAAGCAGTCACCACGTGCTTGGTTTGAGAGGTTCATCACTGCTATGAAAAGAGTAGGGTACACACAGAGTCAGGCAGATCATACTCTCTTCATCAAGAAGCACCAGGGCTGCACCACTGCCCTTATTATATATGTTGATGATATTGTTATTACTGGAAATGATCCAGAAGAGATTCATCAAATGAAGTCATTCTGGGGGACAAAGTTCGAGGTTAAAGACCTTGGATCATTGAGATACTTTCTTGGCATCGAGGTGTGCAGATTGAAGAAAGGGGTGTTGATTTCTCAACGGAATTAAGTGTTAGATTTTGTTGGCTGAAACAGGCAGGCTTGGAGCTAGACCTATTGATATTCCCATTGAGCAGAACCATAGGCTTAATGATGTGGATGGAGACCCATTAGATGATGTGGGAAGATTTCAACGATTGGTTGGGAGACTGATTTACTTATCTCCCACACGCCCGGATATTGCCTGCGCTGTTAGTGTGATTAGTCAATTTATGCATGCCCCACGTACACCTCACCTTGAGGCAGCTCATTATGTTCTTCGCTACCTCAAGGGTTCACCTGGTAAGGGGATATTGTTTGGCAGTCATGGCCACTTGCGTGCTGAAGCCTATACTGATGCTGATTGGGCAGGGTCTGTAACAGATCGACGATCTACCTCAGGACATTGCACATTTGTTGGAGGTAATCTTGTTTCATGGCGAAGCAAGAAACAGTCTGTAGTAGCTAGATATAGTGCAGAGGCTAAGTTCAGATCCATGGCACATGGAGTTTGTGAATTGTTATGGCTACGTACGATGTTGGTTGAGTTGGGTTATCTTGTTCGCGAGTTAATGAAGTTGTATTGTGACAACAAGGCTGCTATTAGCATTGCCCACAATCCAGTTCAACATGACAGGACAAAGCACATTGAAGTCGATCGACACTTCATCAAGGAAAAGCTTCGTCTTGGGCTAATTTGTACTCCATACATCAATACACATAATCAGGTTGCTGATGTTTTGACTAAAGGTGTGAGCAAGATTTGCTTGCAAAATATGTTAGTCAAGCTGGGCATGATAGATGTCTTTGCACCAACTTAAGGGGGAGTGTTGTCAGGGGCTTATTTGTTATTACTTATATAATGTTGGGGCTTATGTGTAATTTCTGAAACTTGTTATTATAAATAGAATGTGGTGGAGGGATGAAAGTATTCTTTCATTCTTTCTCTCTTTCCCCATCTCTATCTCTTTTTTCTCTCATCCGTTTTCTTCTCTTTTTCTTCTTCTTCTTCTTTATCACTTACTCTTGATTTGATTATATCTCAAAGTCAATAGTTTCCTAGATATGCATGTAACATATAAAGAGTGGACATGGACATGGATATAAGAGACAGATACAATAAAAAATAGGCACATCAGTATCGAAAATCTTAAATAAGTAGGCCACAGAAATAGCAAGACACAAAAAGCTTATATTATAAATAACAATATAATTTATTATAAGTAAATCTAATATGCTAAGATTATATTAGATTTTTAACCAATGAATCATAATAATCAATAGCATCTCGTCACATTCAAAAAAGGAGACAAGGACAAAACTAATATTTGCACATATGCATGGAAATGCACATGTACATACATAATTATGACAACTTCTCTCCTACTCCCATGTCCACTTCTTTGCTAAAACCTTTCTGTATATTATTGTCAAACTCATTATGAATTTTAAAGAAACCTTCAATATATTTTCCTTATAAATGTATAATTACACTTTTTCAATACCAAAAGAAAGCCATATCTAATGTTCAAGGTTCATCATTCTCATGTTGGTAGCTGTCCAAGAGTTGGATATTACTCCAAAATTAATAATTTTATTTCTATATTTTGGACCCAGTTAAGGTATGTTTGATAACTAAAATAAATTAAGTACTTAATTAATTAGTGCCTTTGATAACGCAACATGGATATCACTTAAAAGCATAATTCCCACTTAAAATGGGATAAAATTTTAAGGGTGGGAGACTTCACTTATCACTGAATACATCATTTTTGTTTTTTATAATCACAATTTATAATTAGTGCTTAAAATTTAACTCTTGGAATTTTCAGTGCTTACTTTTCAGTTTTATCAAACAGCACCTAAGTGCGTCGAACACATGTTTGGGAGTATCCGAGAAGTATTGGTGTTCAACAAGAGCCTGAGATGGATGCAGGTCCTTATTATTAGTGTTTGTGCTTTTTAGCATATGATTGAACTTCACATCTTAATATATTTGTAAGTAGATTAGCCGCTGACCTGATTTTCCATATTTAACTGGATACTGTTAATGGTGCTATTGCAGTTAGTTGTGAGCCCAAGACATGGAAGATCACTGATTCTTCTATCCCATACATTTATTACACCGTGCGTGTCGGAAGCATATAACCTATTGAGGCAGATCATAGGGAAAAAGAAGTAATCATAATATTAGCAAAAGCTGCAAAACCAACTAATTTACAAGGTAAAAGGCAACCATGCTGAACATGATTGCATTAAAAAGAAAATATTATGACTCGCAACCAGCTTTGAACACGTGAAATATACAAATTGTGAACTAATTAGAATAAAAAATTGACTATTCAATTTGGTTTACTTATTTCACTAGATGGATAATGTTGCCACAGATAAAGTTATTTGTTTTTTTTTTTTTATAAATAAATGAGTACGAAATGTACAAGAACCAAATTACAAAAACCCCAGAAAACAAGTACCAGCCTGAAAGAAAGATGTTCAATATCCTAGAAAATTTGAAAAAAATCTAAGATATTACTCGATAGAAGAAAAGATTCAATTTATGAGAACATCCATATAGACCTCCATCTATAACTTCTGTATTCCTAAAGAGGTGCTGTATAAGAAAGAGAATACAATTACATGTTAATTTATCATTAGAGATTACCGATGCCTAAGATCACCCATCTACATAGTATCTTCGATCATTTGCTTGTAGCGTACCTAAATTTCCAAGGGTTCATTAATCATGTCAACATTTTCTTGCATATATCACATAGAATGGGGTACGCTGTATTTGTTTGTCTTTGTATTTAGTTAAATTAATTTAGGTTTGCATAATAAATAATCATAAAGTAATCAACCCTTTTCTCTCTTTTTTGCATGGCCATGAAGTTAATATAATGTATTCTACATATTGTCGGGTTTCTGCTTTTCAATGTTTACTAACTTCATTATTTTGCTTAATGCATTGAGGTTTATTAAAAATGCATTTATATATAGTTAGAAGGAAAGACAACATGATATATGATTGCCAGGATTGAACGATAATATAACATCAAAAATTGCACTAAAATTCATCGGAAAAAACAACAGTTCTCAAACATAATTAACAAAAATATGGACTAGAGTACATATAAAAGTTGGAATTCAAGTATGCGTTAAGATTTTGCAGCTAAAAATGTTAACAAGGTAGAGAGGACAGAATCTTCCCTAATACCTTAATCACATCATCTAACAAACATAAATTGATACTAATTGAAGCTGCTCAGTGATCTGCTGGCTATCAATATATAAATTATGCTTGGAATGTAACATTTTCATTGACCATGAGAGTATAAATAACTGAGAGTTTGAGGAGTTTTGTATATCCAAGAACAAAAACTAAAACATCTAACTGCTAACAAACGGCTTATCCACAGCATTGGCCCTAGGAAAGTTGTGGCAGCTAGGTGATGCCTAGATGTGTCTGCATACATGGTTCCCTAAGAATTCAATACAAAATTTTGACTAAGTATTCAATACGGACATTTGACAAAATTACAATCAACAAGACTCAACTATGGATTTGCTACACGAGTCAAAAGTAGTTTGCTGATCTAAAGAAATTTGCTGCAAAAAGTGTGCATGAATAATTTAAAACATGTTAACGAAGGAAATTAGATATTCAGGAACCCATGGCAGCCTTCAGTTGACATGCTAGCTCTAGAATCTCTTAGGTGTCCTCAAGTAATCATTATTAGCAAAGCACTCCTGATATGTTGACATAAGAACTACTGTTGTAAGTTACACGGGAACTGAACTATTAGCTTTTAGGACTGCAGATGAACCAAGCCAAAAACAAATGGCTCAAACTTGTTTGAGTCAGGGCTCATTCAGGTTCCTTCGGTTAATAATCAAGCTGCACCTGAGCAACATTTTCAAACTCATTTATTGAACAAGAGGAGACCATGTAGTGAGAAACCACAAACCCATTTACCTTATTGCTAATAAATGGTCTTCCAAATGTCATTCAGGCCATATCTAGAATAAATAGATGCTTCATCTAGTGAGAAACCGCAAACCAGTTTATAAATTATACACTTGAATTTCCATCTTTCATTTTGTTAATTGAATTAAATTCATTTGATACTTAGATTATAAGAGCTAGGAAAGATTTGTAGTTATTATAGTAATCTACAAATAATAATCTTCAGCAAAGTTAATCTATTTTTTTCCTCCCAAAACTTGCATTATCCGAAGCTAAAAATGAAATTTGTTTTCTTGCAAGATGCGAGTCTGTTTTTCACTGACCTTGATTTGTCTGTTAAAGAAAAAGCTATATCAGATAAAACTTTATGAACATCACAACCATGAACAGAGACAGTAGGCCTCATTCTTAACACCTGCATGAATGATGAACAAAAACGATCATCATCAATCAATTATGATCTTTTAACATAAATTTAACCAAATTACAGACAACGTTGACAACAAATTTAATAGAAAACAGGGAAAGGTGAAAGTTGCAACCATTTATCCAAAGAATATCCTATGTTACATGGGCTCTTCAAAAATGCATGATGTACCCATGTAGGACACACAGACATTGGCATGGGATGTATGACCGACTCGTATGATTGGACATACACCCAACAAGCATATCCAATTATTCAAGTATGTTTAGTTATTAACATAAAACTCTTTTTTTTTCCCATGTCCTTGGGTTTAAATATTTGATAAATCCAACGCTAAACACATATTCGCACACAACACACATAGCCAAGTCCATGTAACATAGAGAAAACTGCATTAGGAAACATCTATGTACATTGGTTTATTGTCATATCTGTTGACCCAAAGGCTTCATTCTAACGGCAATCTAGTAATTTTGATGACTACAAACCATTAATGGTGTTTTAAGGACTAATGTCCACATTGAGTGTTCATTATAGGTATGATACATTTTCCAAGATTGATCTCAATGAAAGCATGAAGATTAAGTCAATTCCGACCCAAAATCACATGATGATCCCTAATGCTTAAAGGATGACTTAAAGATTCAAAAAGACAAGTCAAGGAGCAATTCAAAGAGACTGGACTTCAAAGACCAAGTATGCATTCCATAGCTCAAAGAAGAATCCCCAAAAGCTCATGATCAATGTTGATGCTTGAAGAAAGGGGTAGATAGGATTGGTGAGTGTTTAGGATTCAATGTCAAAGTATTTATGAATCCATTTTAGGCTCGTCTCTTCTAGGATAATGCATTATTATCATATCATCTTAAAATGATCCTTAGAATAGGTCATGAATTGAATGTTTCATCCATATATGACCTATAAATGAAAGAAAGGCTAAATGCACTTAAAATGACCATCATTGAAGCCTACAGGGAGGTTCGGCCCTAAACAGAGTCAATACTTGGGTAACAATATTCTTGCTTAACAGAACAATTTAGTAGCAGAAGTAGTGGCCCCCGTGAATAAATATGAATAACTAAGTATTTCTCTTTAGCTATTTCTATCATATATAGTCTTCTACTCCTATTATCAATTTGCAATTGTCTTCGCTCTGGTACTAGAAACATCTGTCTTCCTTCCTCTAGATCTAAAAAAACTGGAATGGAAAAAGGAAAGAGTGTTTTAGAAAGAAGTTGGGAAAATCATACTTGAAACTCAATATGATGCTGAAATTGGATAATAAATGTTTGTTTATATTACATACTAATAACAAATCATTCATGACTGGCCAGATCATTGATACAAATAATATCCGACATTTATTCTATAGATATGACAATGGTAAGATTTTACTTGTAAGAAAAGAAGAAAAACTCTCTTAAGTGATTGTTTCTTCTATAATACACTATCAGTGTGATCAAATTCAGTGAAACTAATTATTTGATCCTCATATCCTCAAAAGTTGAGGGAAGGTCATCTAAGATGGTTCAAACATGTGCAAAGAAGACAATGCATGCAGTCACTAGGAGCAGTGACTTGATTTAAGTGGAAGCTGTTGGAGTAGGATAAGAGAAAGGCCATTAAAAGTGTGGATTAAGGAGATAAGAATTTGGCCACAGATAGTGTTGTATGTGATTCAAATTTATTCCTATAGCGACCAGAAAAAGTTGATAATTCTTATAGGCAATTGAAGATGAACTGATGCACATTCTCAGTTCACATCCTCTTTTTATTTATTTTTTTAATAAGTAGTTCACATCCTCTTAACCATAACCCAACAAAGTTTTTACCATATTACCTTGCTACAAGCCCCATTATATAATTAAATCTCCCTATACACATTTTCTAGGTGAATAAAATATAATATGCAGAATTTTTTCCAATTACCAACACAAGAAATGATATCCATGGGTGATATCGTTGTAATGAAGCTAAATTAAATTTTAATATTCTCATTGATGACATAGTTATTATTCAATTTCTCTGCATTATAAGACTCATAGTATGAAATTGATGTGGAAACAATTGCTTAGATAGATAAGGTCTACATGATTGGAAGCCAAAAATAAAAGATTTAGGCCACATTCTAATCAAGAGGTTATTTTGGTCAAAGATGTGCCCATGATAGTTTCAAGTTCTACGACGTGTTAGTTCTGTATCATGGTATTTATATTCAAAAGCAGGAAACAATTTAATTTCATTTAGTACTATTGTACCACGTTGTTGTTACTACATTAGGATTCTGGAGTTTAGAGTGAGAGTATGAGAATGGTGAGTTTTGAAATGATAAGAGACGAGAGCAGCTCTAGAGAGAAACCAGGAGATTATGATCATGTTTCTTTGAATCCCTTATGTTGAAACACTTATAAGTATATATGCATTCAGGTTGGGGTCTTATGGTAATTAGATATAGGGTTTGTGGCTGTTATGTAATTAGGCCTTTATTGTATTGTATTGTATATAAACTCTCCTTATGTTTTAGGGTTTGTATAATGAAAATATGAGAAGTTTCTCTCTTACGGTCTCTCTCTCTCTCTCTCTGTGTATTTCTACAATATACATATCTTCACTTTTACATGGTATCAGAGCGGATCAAAATTGTGAGCGTGGGAAATTGCAATTGTATTGTTCTTGTATAGATCTGTAGAGTTCAGAGCTCGCGACGGTATTGATCTGTAGATCTGTTCGCGACGGTGGTGTTGTTGCCGTTTTTGGGTGTCGACGAGCTCGCCGCTGTTTCTCGTCGTCGTCGCTCGTCTCTCGTCGTTTGGTCTCAGATCTGAAACCCAGTTTTGTTACTCGCCGTCTTCTCTTGCCGTCGCTGCTTGCTGCTTAGTCACCGGCCGCTGTCGTCATCGTTGCTGGTCGTTGTTTGGTCACCGACGGCTGTTGCGAGGTGAATCGCTGCTTGCTCATTCCATCGTCGTTGCCGCTGCCGCTGCGTACTCGCCGGAGAGTTGAGAGACGAATGGTGTTTGGCTACAGGTGCTCGCTATCCTAATCCAGGTTAATATAAACTGGATTTGTTTCGGCCCGATCCAAGGTCCGGCCCGTTCGACCCGAGCCAGCATCCGGCCCGCTAGACCCGATCCAGGATCCGGCCCGTTAGACCCGATCCAGGATCCGGTCCGTTAGACCCGATCCAGGATCCGGCCCGATTCTCTTGCCGGGTCTGTTCCGCTCCGAATCTTCTTTTGTTCGCGGTTAAACTCTGGTCTTGCCTTCTCGTGTGCAACAGCCTCTTTGGTAACTTGGCAGAGATAAGTTTTCTTTTTCTTTTCATATTCACATCTCCATGCCGGAAGATTCAAATGTTGCCTCTGGGTCTTCTGGAGTTAAATCTTCTGCAACATATGTTGATCTTGTTGGGCTGCAAATTACATCTATGAAATTAAGTAATTCCAATTACTTACTATGGGCTCAAGCAGTAAAGATTTCTTTAGGTGCCTGACGAAAGCTGAAGTTTATTACTACTGATCCTCCATCAAAAACATCAGCAACATATGAGGAATGGGAAACTGATAACTATATGGTTATGTCTTGGTTGTGGAACAGTATGGAACCTTCAATTGCATCCACTTTTATGTTTGTCAACACTGCCAAGGCAATCTGGGATGCAGTTAAAGAAACTTATTCCATGGACACAAATGTTTCGCGCATATATTCTTTGTATGAAAAGATATTTCATTCTCGTCAATCTGACTTCTCTGGTTAAGGGCTTGGTGAGTATTACAGTAATTTCAAAAGCCTGTTAGATGAGTTAAATCAGTACCACCCTTGACTACTGATCCTGATGTTCTCAAGCGACAACGTGAGGAATTTTCTGTTTCAATTTTTCTTGCTGGTTTGCACCCGAACCTTCATAATATTCGGGACCAGATTCTTGCAGGTGATGGAGGACTTCCATCTTTGGGTAACATTTACTCCCGCCTACTTAGGGTTTTAGAACAATCACATGTGACACCCACTGGAGTGAAAGAAAATTCAGCTATGATGATTCCTTCTATTTTTCCACAGTCCTCTAGAGGTCGTGATAGTTCTACTGGCAACAGAGGGTATGGTGGAAATTCAGGAGATATTCCTAGTGGCAACAAAGGGTATGGTGGAAATCAGGTAGTTCTCGTGGCGGTAGTGGCCGCGATAGAAGTCGCAATCGCCGTGGTCGTGGACGTAGTGACACTCGTATGTGCAGCCACTGTAAAGGTACTAACCATTCTGTTGAGAACTGTTGGACTCTTCATGGGAAACCAGCATGGGCAAATCAAGCAGTATCTTCCTCTGACCTTGCGGGGTCTCATCCCTCTCTTGGTCAGACTTCTGTATTACCATCACCTAGCAGCTACTAGTGACACTGTGACACTATCACTATCACGAGCTGAGTTCAGTGCTTTGGTCAATCGGACACATCCCAACTCTACTGATGTAGTTAATTTTGCGCAATCAGGTAATATTGCATGCTTGTCCAATTTACAGACTTCAGCATCCCCCTGGGTCATTGACTCTGGGGCTTCTACCCATCTCACAGGTGATGCCTCTCTATTTTCTAACTTTCAGAAGTCTAGTTCCTCATCTTTTGTTACTCTGGCTGATGGTAGAACATGTTCCATTATTGGCCAGGGAACAATTAAATTAACCCCATCCATTTCTTTATCCTCTGTGCAATTAGTTCCAAATTTTCCTTTTAATTTATTATCTGTAAGTAAATTGACTCAAGCTCTGAAGTGTTTTGTCACATTTTATCCTTCGTCTCGTGTCTTTCAGGACCTCAACACGAAACAGACGATTGGTGGGGGCAGTAACAGAAATGGCATATACTATTTGGATTGCAAACCTTCCACTGTTGCTTTACATTCCCAGATGTCTGTGTACCAGTGGCATTACCGGTTAGGTCATCCCTCGTTGCGGTATTTGAAGTTTGCTTTGCCTTTCCTTGAGTCGGTACCTAT